ATTTAGAAAGGAAACGATATAGATTGAACGAGTGAAGATTTTCGTACTGCATAGATTGCAGATTTCAAAAAAAACTTTATAATGGTCTATTAGGCTCAAGGAAAATTGCAACGATAATTCAAGTTATAATAATTCGTGGACATGGTTTAGGTTTCCAATAAATTAAAAAACGCAGAAATATCACTGTATATTGCCAGAAATTCATTAAATATTAAAATCCTGGTCAATACCACTTAAGTGCAGTGAGACTGTGTTCAACATATATTAATTTGTGAATAGTGCATGCGATTCCCATTGGTCTGGACTTATTAAATTCTAAGAAAACTCATCATTGTTGCTTATAGGATCATATAAATTTTGCTGAGGAGTTACTTAATAAAAATACACGTAAGATATCACATGGATATTTGAAAGACAGGTTCCAGAGTAAAACTTTATCTTCATCTGCGTTTCGTACTGATAATTATATTCCATTCTACCTTTTGGGCTTATTAATATGTTGTATTAATTATACTCATTAGTTATACAGTGAAAATGGCTCTAGATGAATTAAGTTAAGAAGCCTTAAAAATTCCAAAAGAAATCCTTTCCAAATTGTTAATAGTTTTCAACCAATTTTACCTACCTGTTGATATTTTAAAAATTATTTCTAGTAAATTTCTGGCTATTGTTAAAAGTACTACCGAGAACTCCTGAAAGCAATGAAAAAAAGAACCGTGTAGTCCAAATTTATTGTTCACTTTACATCAAAGAATTCTATGTGAACATTTAATTAAACTAAAAATCTAAACTAAAAACTAAACTATTTAAATTAAAGATTTGTAATATTGTTGCATCTATAAAAATAAGCATAACGAATAGGCTGATTTTAATCTTTGAAAAAGTTAAGTGAGTTATGACAAAAAAAATCTTGAAAAAAAAGAAACTGCGTTCTGCGTTCGAATGAAAAAGAAAGTAAATGAATGAGCAAAAAACCAAAATATTTAATAGAATTTCCGCTAAATTTTAAAAATGTTCAGTGACATCGCAGAAAAAACTATTGTTAAACAAAGGATTTTCATAGATTGGTTCGAAGAAAAGATTTAGAATCTTTTTTGACAAAATCTATATGAACGAAGTGCACCCGCACCATGCCATTCCATCGCTGTTATAAGCTGTGAAATTTTTTTAAAAGTTTACTGATTTACTGATCGATTTTCTTAAATTTTTTCAATGATAATGATAATATATAAGTTATGGCAATTAAATCTTTTAAAACATTGATTACTAAATTATGACGAATGATTGAAATGTTATCTAAAAATCTTCTCCGTGAGCAAAAATGGAAAAATTTAAATTAGTTCTATAATATCGGCGTGCTGTTTATAAATCTCTTTTTGTTAAATCATTCAATTTCATAAATAATGGATTCATACCAATTTTTTATTTTTAAATAGGAAATAAAATTGGCACATTTGGAAATAAAAATTCATTGGTGCCGGGTCATCGATTTTATGTAATCTTATATTCTTAACAAATCTAAATATTATCTCTTTATTTTAGTTTGTTTAAATCGCCAACATTTCTTTATTTGAAATAGACGCAGTGACGAAAATGATTTTAGCATTTTAAAATTATCAGTGGTCATAAGAAATAGCAAAAAATAAATGAATTGGCAGTAAAAAAAAGAAATATGGCCAAATTTGTCAAAAAACAATTCTTCTCACTGGTTTCGCAGATTTGTATATTGATAAATCACTCGCGTTAATATATTTTAACAAATATATAAGTCAAAAACGAAAAATTTTCAGAAAGAAATTTCAAAATTTTGATCCAATACTAATAAATTAATCAAAACTAAAGCAGAAAGCAAATGAATGATAGGATAATAATAAAAGAATGGTAGATGATGATAAAAATTAAAAAACTTGATTTCTTTCTTTAAAGAGCATTCACCATAACGATTTTTCCGTTAACTTATTGAACCACTTGGCAATAGAAGTGCAGGTCAATCACCGGAATCACCGGCATCACTCACATTTTTGAAAGATAAATTTATGAGAAATGAGAATGAGAAGAAATGAGATCAACAGTCCACTAAGCTATTCTTTCCCAAAGCTGGTTGGTAATTGATAATAATTAAAAAGAGCCATTAATTATTTCGAATAAATGAATATATCAAAATTTTTGGCATATTTTCAAAAAGTTACTGCTAAAATACAAAACTTTTGTTTTCCAAGCAATTTCTCATAAGAGCAAAATTGTCATAAATCATTCCAAAAAATTGGTGGCAGTGATGTTGCTGTATTGTTTCAAAAAAAAATTTTGTTTAGTTTCGTTATCAAATCAAAATTTTTCAAGAATATTTAATAATTTGAATGTTTCGCTAAAGCAAAAAAAGTAGCAATTATAGAGAAATTTAGTTGTTTTCGTTTATCTTATATAACATGTGAAGTGCATAAAATTCTTTTCGCTTGAATCAACTAATGAATGTTTAAAAAACCAAAAAAAGGTTAAAAAATGGAAACATTAAAAAGAAATAACCATTTTGCTTTTCTTTTACTTATGCAAAAAATTATAAGTTCCTTATAAGTTTATCAAGAATAACAAAAAATTTAGCGCAAAAACTTATTATTATTATTTATTGTTATTTATCATTATTAACTATTATTATTGTTATTATTTTTTTTATTAATCATTATTGTATAAAAGGTCGCTTCATTGATTTTAGTATGGCACAACAATTTGGAGAGTTCGGAGAGTCAGAAGTACAGATGAGTGTCAAGCACGGCCACTGAATATATAAATGAATAGCAACTAAATATTTAATAAATTTATTTTTGTTGCTTGTGATGCAAACTATTAATCTGTTTTTTACTTTATAGCTAAATTTTAAAAGGAAAAAAAAAACTTAAGAAGGAAAAAAAAGATTAGATATAGACTGGTTTGAAATTCCATATTTTAGTTCATTAACATTTTTCTCGAAAAACTAAAATTTATTAGCCGAAAATTTTGAATGTTTGGAAGAATGGTATTTTTGTGACAAATTAATTAGAAAAAAAATTTTTTTCCTATTTTTTATGCTTAGAAATATCTTTAATTTTCTTTCCCTCGTATGATGATAATAAATGACGATATTTTCGCTGAGAAAATTGCAAGCAGGAAGTTATCGTATAACATGATATTGAGGAGATGAAAGCTAACTCTATCTTTCAAGTGCCACACTTTTCTCTAGAACTTCATCTGCCTCTTTTTAATGCCGGTTGGTTAACAAACACACTACCAGCTGGCTAACAATTCACCACTCACCACTATTCTCGAAATCAGCCATTTATTTTTGTTATAAACATGACGTCGTCAAATTCTACCTACAACTGCCATTATCTGAAATTCAGTTGTCATAACTTATTTTCATATTTCGTATTTTTATTACATTTTTCGATACTTTCATGATTTTAATGCTAACAAATTTTTTTTCTTTCTTATTAATATGTTATTAATATGATATTTTACATGGAACACTTTTATTTTTGGTACTTATTAGCACTATTACTTTAGTTATTAGTACTGCTCCTTTAGCCTTTCACTTTAAAAAAATTAAACATGAGAGGGTATAAGCCCACTGAAAAAAATGAGAGAGAGCAGAAGCCGATAGAAAAAGAGAAATTCGCAAAACTTTCTGGACTGCGTTTCCAGAATATATGCAGATACACCAGCGTTAGCCAATCATTTTAAATAAATAACGATTGTTGACTTTCGCCTTGGTCAGGATTTACTTAAAAAATGGATTTTGCTTGGTTTTCTAAACGTTTTTTTTTGAAAAGTTAAATTCCTCAGCTTAAAAATGGCCACCAAAATAATAGTAGAAAATCAGAATTTTCTATAGCATTAATTTTGATTTCTGAAGATTATTGTGCCAGGATTTCTGTGGACCTCAATACAAAACAATTTTTCCAGAAAAATTCATTCCACAATTTTTCTATTCAAGTATATTTTTTCTACTATAAGGTTATCACACCTTTTTTAGAACTTATCAAATATAAAAGACAGATTGACGAACAGTGTGATTTAAATCTAGCCATCATTATTTATCTTTTCTCCATTTTTACAACAATAACGTTACTAAAGGGCAAATGATTCTTTTTTCTTTGTTTTGAATTGAATAAGGTTATTTTTGATAAATTTTATAATATAAATGAAATAAACTTTTGAAAAAACTTTTTATTTATAAGATTGTTTGTTTTCTTTCTATTTTTATTCCCTCTATTTTAGCATCTATTTATTTAGTAAAAAAAAATAAATTTTTCCTTAAAAAATCCAAAATTTTAAAAAGAAAACATTTAGAAAATATAAATATTTAATACTTCAAATCTGTGAAAAGAAAAAAAATCGAGAAATCCCATTAATTATAAGAGAACTGATAAAGATAAATGTGATAAGGCACTTAAATCTAAATAAATAAATGCAATGAATAATAAATATAATAATATTAAATGAATAATAAATTGACATTTTAAAATTATAATCAACGTATAATTGATAAATATAAATAAATATTTAATAAATGTCAATTTCAAATTATGTAAAGCTTAGATTGCGTATAATGGTACACCACAGATAATTTTCAGAATTTGGTTGGATTAAAATATGGTCATTGATTGTCCTTCAACATCTCAAACAATCGAGCTGCATGACTTGAAATTTATTTGTATACGTTACATATCAATAAAAATCTTTAAGGTTTAATGATTCTTGATTTTTAAAGTTCGGAAGCACCAGCAGGATTTTAAAATGATAAACAATATCTCGTAGACAAAAGCTCTTGTGGTAGCCTAAAGACCATCAATAAAATTATATGAGATCATCATCCTAAGCCATTATTTCTTCGTTATAAATAATCAAATAAAATGGATCAAAATCGAATTTTGGTCAAATTCATGGTTCAGATTCAAGGTTTTTATCAAAAGAAGAGGGAAGGAAAATCGACCAAAAATAAATAAAAAAAACTCTAGTAATTGAGGCTTCGAAAGCGTTTGCATTTTGGTTTTCTTTTTCAGTCTAATTTACGATGGAGAAGACTCGATGATGTCGCAGAATCATTGCGATATTGGCTAAGGAATATTTCTTTACCCAACTTGATGAAAGAACAGCTTCATTATGGCATCGGAGAAGTTTTTCGGGAGATTCAAAGATGGGGTATGAAGATTGTTGTAGGGCATAAATTAATGATCGTTTGGGAGAAAAATTTCATTTGTTACCTTAATAATTCTTTTAAAAGAATTTAAATCATATTTAAATCATCTAGAGTTTATTCAAAATAATCTCATACACTAAGCATTCGCCTTATTCTTTGAAGTAAAGAGAGAAAGGAAATGGGAAAGAAAGAGAATAGGAAAGAGTTGGTATATCCAAATATTCTTATTCCCACTTTTTTACGAAATTTTTGTTAAGGTTTGTGATAAAATAATTTTAAAAAAAAATAAAATAATTTTTATTTTTTTAAATTGATATAAATTGGTTTTATCTTACCTTTTATTTTACCTTTTATTTTCATTTATTTGCAGAATGCAAAACTTAATGATTCTCTCGAGTAAATACATTTCTGTTCAGTGTTTATTATCCTTTTAAAAACTTAAAAAAGCTTAAAATTTAAAAAAATGAAATCATTCAAAAATGAAATAATTTGGTTCTTCAGTAGGAAACAACAATTCACTTCCTAATTCACAAACTAAAAAATAACTTCTATTCAGAGTTTTTGATATTGGTCAACCAGATTCATGGTTTTTGATTATTGATTATGAAAGAATTTTGGCAAAACGATTTTTGCCAAAATCGTTTGATCATATGAAATCAATATAATTAAATAATGGCAGTTTATTTTCTTATTTATTTAAATCATTATTTGTCAAAAAATTTGAAGGTGAAAAACATTCGAGTTTGTTTGACGATGAGAAGCCAGAATTTTTGAAAACTTCGAAACTTCTCAAACCGAACAGGAGAGAACATTTGCGCTTATTTTACGACTGTATTATATGGAAGAATTTAGAGTTCGCTTCTTTTTTTTGGTAAAACTAGCAAATTAAATATATTGAAAATCCTAAGAAATTATGTTCATAACGGTAACTGCTATTATATGTCTGCTCATTTCTATGTTTTATATTCTATAAATCCTCTAAAGGTCTCCGAAGTATCTCACGTTTGTTTTGTTTTGTTTTCGTTTGTTTTGAAAAAAAAGTCAAAATAACCACTGGCGAAATTATAATCGTTTCTCTAAATAGCATTCAACATTCCTGACTAGGCTCTTTTGATCATTATTCCTTTGCCATCACTTGAGAATAGAAGCATATGTAGACTAGACTCCCAGAACCACCTGGATCTCACATCTAGTGGCTGCCTTCAATAGATGGAAGTCGAAGCCACGATGTTTGAAATCATTTGAAATTTGGCAATTCGGAATATCATTTTAAAAAATATGTGGAATTTGATTTTGAAATTAAATTCGTACAAGCAAATTATGTTCTATCCTGCTTGATTGACCTTTGATAATAATTAAATGAAATTCAGATTTGAAATCGATGATTACGAAACAGCAAACAATATAATTCTGTCAAAATGCAACGATTGGCCACAAATGCAGTTTCAATTTGCTTGTGCTTATGCGATATTGGATATGCTCAAAAATGTCGAAATGTTTGATTCGATTCGACTTAAGGCTTTTTCGTTAGGTTTTATCGCTAATGCCTTATAAAATTCCGAATTTTTGAACTCTAACATCATTTTTTTTCTTAAATTGTAAATTCTAATTTTCCTACCTTTAATGAAAATTTTATTCATTAATTTGACATTTTTTGATCTTTTTTTTTTTTAAATATCTAGTAATATTTAGGAAAGAAGAAATTTCGAAGATAATTGAAAGATAATTGACTTATTCTATAAAATTCGTTCATAAAAATGATTAAAAAAGCAAAAAATTGAATTATATTTGATCTATCGTTGTTCATTGTTATTTAAAATGGAATCAAAAGTACCTGCAGTATGATTTTCTCGAAAAAGAAAAAGATTTCAAATGCTGATAAAGATAAATAATTGCCTGCTTCATATCCATTAAAAATCATTAAAAGATCTATACAAAAAATTCCATCAATCTGCAAAAGAAAAATTTTGTTTGGAAATTGCACATATTATCAGTCAACCCAGTTAGTTATATGAAAAGCAGTCCAATGATAAATTGGTGCTTGGCATAAAACTGATTAAAAATTGTCACCGGGAAAATTTAAAAAAATTAAAAATTAAAATTAAAAATTAAAAATTAAAATTAAAAATTAAAAATTAATTAAAATTAAAAATTAAAAATTGGTGTGCCAGTGACCTACAGATCTATCCAGAGAACATTTCCATTCATATATATTTTCACCATTATTCTGGAAATTTTTTCTTGTAATCAGATTAAAATAAAATTTAATAAAATCCAATTGTTGAATGAATTGTTAGAAAGATTCGATTTTAGGCGAAAGCTTTCGAATCATTGCCTCTATGATTTTTGGATAACAATTCTTCGCGATTCAGCCGAGTGGGAAAAAATGTTCGCTTCAGATGCCATTGTTCCAAAGCAAAAATTATCGCTTGCTTTTCAATTTGCTATCACCAATGGATATTTTGAACTTCTTTATTTCATATGGAAGCGAGTTACAGAAACACAAAAAGAATATATAGGTCGGTGGAGATTTTTTATTTTAGTCAATTTTTGAATTTTGCTATGAGTTGTAACCGCGAATTACATCTTTAACGTATTCGCTAAAAAATTTTGCCAAAAAAAAATATCTAAATAAACTAGATAAACTTTTTTTCATTATCATTATAAAAATAACTTGAAGCTTTGCTATTGCTTACTGCATTGAAATGTTAAAAAAAAAGTTATTAAAAGTAAACCTTGCATTTAATATGATTAATAATACGATTATTCTTATGGAATCGGGTATAGAATGGTTCAGTAGGTTGTTGCTCAATTTGAAGCGTCGATGCTGGGTTTTTCCCTGCAGGAGTAAACCTGTCCAAAAATGCGGATGGTACTGGCGATTCACCTGTACTTCTATCGCTAAGGAATTTCCTGGTATATTTGTACAATGCGACAAGCCAGTGGAGCGAGTTTAGCCAGTAATGAGGATCCTTGAAAAAAAAGGAAATTCTAATGGAATCATTAGTAACTTTATTGAAATTTCTCCAAGAGATTCAAATCTTTTATAACAGAGTCAAAGATAATCGGCCTTAAATTCGCCTATTCTATTACATTTCATCTCGTTTAGAATTAATGGAGATAGTACGATAAAAAAATTTAAGGAATACTTCAGTGGAGACAAGTGTGCTTTTTGGCAAAACATCGTGATGTTATGAAATTTCTTTGCAATAATTTGTGTAAAATCAATGTGAGCAGTTTAGCTGGGACTACCTGGAACATATTTTATTCGTCGCTTCATCAGTCTATTGAGGTTCTTGAGTTTTCTTTCACAAGAAAATATTTCTTATATTCAACAATAAAAATAAAAAACCATATCTAACGTCAAGATAGAACGAGAACGAGAATTAACGTTAAGTTTGTTCTCGTTCTATGTAAAAGAACTTAAAAGGACAATTAGAATAAATCTTTTTTAATCACAATTGGCACTATTTCAAAAACCAAACCAAAAGCTTTTTTCCATGCGAATCGCTCGTTAATAATATGAATGATTACTTGTATTAAATTTTATTTACCTTAGTATTATTTTTTTATTTTACTTTAATAGTTGTAGAATTTTTATTGCGTAAAATGATTTTATTCTAATCAGAATTCCGTCAATGAAAGAAAAAAGATCGATAATATCCGTAAAATGAAATTTCTTCTTGAAAATTGCTGCCCACTTTTAAGGAGTGCTTTGCTCTCGATGGAAAATTTCAAGTAAGAATTTCTTATAATTTACTTTGTTCGAAAAACCTGAAAAAAAAATTTTTTAAAAAATTGGCGGAAACATTGAATAAGAAGCTGAATGAAGCTTTTTATCAAACTTTAATTTTAATTTAATTGTAACTTCAATTAAAAAACTTTAAAATCGAAACTTAAGAAATCGTGAAGAAAAAAGTTTTAAAATTTCCAAAATAATTTTGTAATGCCAGCTATTTTCCATAAAATCGGATTTGCAAACAGTGACCATTCGAAATTCTGTTTTCCGAACAGTTTTTTTTTCAGAGCAATCACGGACGCATTTGCTCATAATCAATCGGAAATATTTGCGCTTTTTTTGGAGTATCTTAATCCTGAACAGCTGAGTACAGCGCGTGAATATATTGATCGAATATATGACCGAAATGGAACTCAAGAACGGCACGAATTTCGACAGTGGCTGATTAGAAGACAGAATACCATTGATTAAGGTGATAATTGAGATTTCATTTCATTGTCGGTTATTAACCAATTTTTTTATTTTCATTTGTATAAACAGATATTTGTATAAACAGGCGTATTTTTTTAAAAAATTAGTTCATTGCTTACTTGAATTGATTGATGTTGACTTGAAAATTTCCTTCATCAAGGAGTATATTTCAGTACAAGACATCTGCCAATAAATATGCATAAATATGCAGAGTAAAAATGAGCAAAGCTTTTTCATAATGGATTCTCCCTTCAATACCACACATAATTTTTTATTTGGCAGACTCCACTGAGTCAACCCTTTCGCGCTTGAACGTGTTTGGGAACGGGTGGATTTCCACTATTTTCCTCACTTCACTTTTCATTCCTGTCAAAGAGAAGTGATTGAATGCTTGGTGAGCTTGAGCCCTTTTAAATTCAATTAAATTAATTTAAATTAAAATTAACTCTTCAACACTCATCAGTAGTCAATTTTCTTGCACGACAAATCATGGCTTCATAATCACATCCAAATCAGCTAGAAAAATCATTATCAACCATATTGTGAGTTATATTTTATTGAAACAGTTATAAATTGTTTTTAAAAAATGTGAGCAAATGAAATCATATCATATTTACTATAAAATTTTGTTCAAACGAAAATTTTTGCAAGAAAATAAATTTTTAAAAAAAAATCACTTTTAAAATTTTGAAATTGAAAGGTTTTTCATTAATTTTAAATCAATGTTAAATCAGTTCGAAGTGCAGATGTTGAGGTTCTATTCTAAACCTGTCCAAAAATCCGGATGACGTTGGCGTCTCACCTATACTTCTATCGCCAAAGGACTCCCTGGCATATTTGACAAACCACCGAAATGAGTTAAACCAGTATTGATGAGGAATCTTTAAAAAAAATTCTTGCAAATATTGCTGTTAAAAACAGTTCATTGCTTTCTTCTAAATGTTAAAAGAATTTGCTAAAATTTGTTTATTTTTCGGTGAGAAGAATTTGCTCGATATCTTCGTATTTCAATATTTATTTTAATAAAGTAGTAATAGAAAAAATCCATTTCATTTTTTTTTTGAAACTAATCACAAAATTTACTCTTCTCTTTCTTTTTGCAGCCCATAATTGTTTTGGTTCACTTCATTAGCGACTAGGATAAAACGTTTCCGCTCATTTTTCCCTCATGTAAACTCATATCATTGGGCCATCTATACCTCAAAATCTCAAAATCTCTTTCCTGTTCGTATCGATAACTATTTTAACAAGTAGCGAGATGTACATCAATTTCTGTAATGGAAGGTGAAGAACATGGCCAAATTAGTCGGTGTTTTGTTATGATATTCTTAATATAGAAGGCATTTGAAAGGTGGATGCAATCATGAAAATCTGCCCACTTGATAAGTAAAATATATTTTAGTATGTAAGAATAATCAAAAGCAGATAGCTTCTTGAAATTTGCCTTGTTTTTATTTTACTGCTATTTACATCACTGCTCTTAGAAATCCCAATTATTCAATTAAACTTTTGGGAATTATAAATGAAATGAAAGTAAATGAGTAAATAAATTATTTTATCAAAATCAATACAAATTAATATAAATAAATATAAATATAAATTTCAAATTAAATATAAATTAAAATTAAAATTACGATAAGTTTCACATTTTCTGTAATTAAACTCAAAAACCTTCAAACAAATTTGGTAGAAGAAATACTACTTAACTAATTGGTGCTTCAGGTGATCAGTGACAAGATAATGCCCACCGAAAATTGAGGCTTGGGTTCGAATCCGCAACGCATCACTTTTTGACCGTAGCACTGTCGCCTAATGGAAAAAAGAAAAGGGAATAGAATGGCTTAGAGATGATGAATTCGGAGAGCCGTTGGTGAAATTCTACTCCCTGCTGGAATAAACCTGCCCAAAATTCCAAATTATGCAGGTAACTCTTACCCGTACTTTTGTCGCAAGAAACTCTCAGGCTTATTTGTCTAGTTCGAAAAGCCAGCGGAATGAGTTTAACCAGTGGTTCTAAAAAAAAAGAAATCATTGTAGTTCCATAAATTTTGTTGATTTGGTTCAATATGTGAAAATAAATGAATGTAACGTAACGAATTATTGCGTTTTGTGTTTTGTAGTAAATGGTTTTATTTTTATTGCCCTTCTTACTTTTTAAATTTTTGTTTTTAGGCTCACAATATATTCATCTCAAATAAATGCTTTTATTCTATTAACAACAATTTGGAAAGAAAAAATTTTCCAGTATACTTCAATTTTCAGTAAAATTTTCATGAAAATTATAATAACCTTATTGCCACACAAAGATAACCAAAATTTTGTAATATTAAATATAATTTGTACATAAGTCTTGTTTTATTATCAATAAAAAAAGCATCGATAATCCTCATAAAGGCTTATTAATATCAAATATCAAACATAAACATTTATAAATTACATTTAGAGAGCATTTTAAATTCTTTACAAAAATTTAAAAGGTAATGAAAAGGAATTCCGTTAAGATAAAATTTCTTAGACATTTATCAGTTAAAATTGCATTGTTCGAGTTATCAGAAACTCTTATTTTCTGTTTTTATACTTAAGATGGATTGAGACTATTAACTAATTTTAAACAATAAAACTGATTATGTTTTAATGCAATTTTCTCTTAACCAGTTAGTTCTTGTCATTTTAACAGCACCATTTCTGCTTTGACGACTTCATTGACTACTAGGATGTGTGAGACTTTTTCGATAGACGGATAGAACGGTGAGCACCAACTAGAGCCCATAAAAAATGGAAGGGAAATAAAAAATTGTTCTACCATGTTTTCGGTCCCTTGTTTTTATTATAAGTTCTACACAGCAATTTTTTAACTCGGTATCTTTGCTATCGTACTGAAATGAAATTGAAACTGAAACGAAGAAATTTCAGAAAAAAAAATGGAAGGAAATAATTTTAGAAAATAAATAAATAAAGGAAATAATTTTTTGAAAATTAAAGGTTATATGTATGTATATATATATATATATATTCAGTGGCAGATAGTTTTTTTTTCGCTATAGAATCTTCACAAAAAGATAAAACTACTTTTTTATAGAATAATAACACTAATTTTATTCATTTATAAAACAATTATAAAACAATTAATAAACAATTGGATTATAATCACAGATGTGGCATTCGCGAAGCTTGGATAAATTTTTGCTAAATTTCTTTGCTTACAACTAAGTTAGTAAAATATGTAAATAGTTAGTAAATATGTAAATAAATAGTAAATAAATATGCAATTATGGCTTATAATCACGGTTTTCTATGGACAAAATCGACAAAGACTGATGATTAGATTTTTTAAAATGATAAATAAGCGAGCATAAATCAAGATTTGAAAAAAAATGATTGTTGAAGAGAAGAAAAATACAACTATTGATTGAAATTATTTATCAGTTCATCTATTTTATGACAATATAGGCTTAATATAATCTACATATTATTTAACTACAATATCTACAATATAATTAAAATATCCACTGCATCCGAAAATTATAAATTTGGCATGGAAATAATATTTGAGGAAAAAAAGTTAAGTCTTCAAAATAAAATTCGCATCGAATTAAAATTAAAATTGAGTTTAATTAGCCTCTGAATTTCACAAATTTAAATTTTATCAGCCGAATTCTTTTCAAGCCATTTTAATGAAGTAAAATTCTTTACGATATATTGTGGCTGTTAAAAGTCCACCTATATTTCCCAAATAATTTTATAGTGAAAGAGTTTTGACAAAGAAAAATGTTCGCATCCTTCGACGCTTATGATGCTTCTAGCCCATTGGTGCATACGATAAAAATAAAAAGAGAGCCTATTAAAACAACTCCAAAGTTTGAAAGTAGAATAGGTTCACGAGCAAGCGGAACTGTTCGAAGCTTGTTAAGGGAAACAACTGTCAGTAAGTGTGACAATGTCAGAGCCCTCTTCGACATTGCGAGTTAAGTGATTACTGTCCGAATATTGTATGAGCATCGCTTTTTTATTCTCTTGATCCTTCAGACTATTAATGGTTAGGAGCAGAGTTATTATTGTATCATCTCAGATAACTCGAAGGGTAACAGTTGCCATGCTTGAAATGCTCCCACCTGCTCTGATTGCATGGAAGCCAGTTAATAACCGTATCTTCCACGCCTAATGCAAAGGGAAGTTATGCAATACCTCCGTTATTAGTGCGCATACTCCTACTTTATACCTAATTCTTAATTTCTAACAATTCTGCTGAAAGATTCGAATATGGCGACTGGTTCTCAATATGCCAATGGAGAACGTCCTCTTTATTTTGCCGAAGTGCATGAACTTTTCGCTACCAATACATCCTTTCGACAACAAAGAAAATATCTAGCCATATGGAACTCCTCGAATAATCAATATTCCAACCATATTGATTATATCCCAATCAGCTGCGGTTAGAAAAATTCGTATAAAATTTCATAGAAATTTTCGCTCTTATCGCGCCAATGAGATTACATTGACCATGATTGCTATGGTTTGAGACAAGATTCGTATGAAGATGACAATCTTGGGAAGTTCCCCTAATCTTTCCACATCCTACCATTCAAGCAAAAAGATTTCATGAATAAGCGAATTGCAAACCACTGTTACCTCATTAATGTAAATATCAAAGACATGGAACGGCCTGTCGAATGGTCGATGGTATTGTTTCCTGCTAAAAATATCATTGCAAGACGATCAATTCAATATGTTGTTTTGAAACGGACTAACTGGATACCGGAAACAAAGGCATAATTATTTGAAAAGGTTACCAGGGCATGCATGCCATTTTAAGTTCTAGCTGATGGATGGGCGACAGTGGTGTGGTAGGAGAAAAACCGTTATTGGAGTGATATGGTCCTTAATATGGAGATACTACCCAAATAAGCAATAATAGGATAATAGAAAACTATTCTGCCTTATTAAAGATCATAAGCCATCAAAACAACGGGAAGAAACTGGTTGAAGTTTTCAAATATTGTCCTTTTTAACAGATTTACTTCCCAATGTAGAAGAAAGAACCAGGTGAATGAGGCAAAGCAATCTTGTTCCCACTCCGCAAGAAAAATGATATATTATTAACCGTCATTCGTATTGATTTTACCTTCGCTTTATTTGTAGAGTAGCATTCTGAAGAGTAATGGAATGCTATGGTTCCGTAGAAGATCATTTGATTCATATCTCTCTGTATATGGTGAACTGAATCCTTTCGGAATAAGTATTGCTGCATCCTTTCTCCTACAATAGATCGGATTATGGACGCCGCAGCACTTTGGAGACAAGTCAGCCTAGAACATACCCAGACAGTGAGTGTTACAGATCTTGACGGCCACGCTGATGACACAACTTTTTGCTTATGCAGAATGCTTATGGAGAAATATAAGAGATGCTAGAGAGCGTATCAACAACCGCAGCAAAATTCGGGTTCAGAATCAGTGTAAGTAAGGCAAAAGAGTTTTATTTTCATTTTATATTGGATAAGTGCCAGATTTTGAGTCTGGTCTTATACCAAATGATCAAGCGAATGGCTTAATTGCAGCTCAGATAATTGCTGCTAGAAATACTTTCTTTTATTTGACAGAAGCTCTGCGGAATTGCGTATCACTTTAAAAACGAAATTTATCAGGCGCATCTTCTTATATAGCCAGTGAGAATGGAGGATATTAAGAAGGCTTTGATCACTCTAAGATTTACTTCACGACAAAATCTTACATGATCCACCATTGCTCAAACACCATCTGCAATATTATCACAGATCATCGTTTATATTGGTTAGGCAATATTCTTCGACGCACATCGCAGAAATTAATATAACAAAATATCTCGCCAAAAGTTGTGTGATAGATGGAGTCAAAAGCAAGAAGGGCCAATCAGGATTTGGGGCTTAAATACATAGGTGGCCCAGCAATATATATGCTTAAACAATGAAAAAAGAGTTGTTTTTGTTACTCTCAAGTATGGCATTAGATCGAAAGGCTTGGAAACACCTACAGAGCAAGCGTAATCAGAAATGATGAGAATTGTAAGAAGAAATAGAAAGAGGCAGATTACTTCAATTTATCTTATCTTCAGATAAATTTATTTCACTTTATTTTAGCTTATCTACAATTATGAATTTGCTAATTGGTTAAATACAATTCGAATGATACTAAAATGCAAAAATATGCAAAAATAAATGATATTAAGTGATTTTTTCTTACAGAATTTTGTTTATTGTCAATTAATTTTAAATAATTCTTTTTCTTGCTTGCCATAGCCTTCCTTTCTTATCAAGTACATTCATTCATTCTTATCAAAATGTCTATGGAATTTAAAGTTGTCTATTAGCTAGCTTTGGTTATTGTTTTGATATAGTAATGATATTTTCAACCAGAACAATTCAGTTTTTTTGCATTTCATATTGAGGCAATCTCAAACTCCAAACTCGATCCAAAAATTTTATGGTGACTGGTATGATCGGCGCATTTCATTTCTTCCTCAGCCTAAAAGAGAAACTGGTTAAGCGGTAAATTGTGCTTTTTGCGATCTTTGCAATTCATTATTTTAATTTAATTTGCTCAGCTTCTTTGAATGAAAATTGATCGAAATTATAGTTCACAAATAAGAAAACTAAAAAGAATGAGGCGAAATATCCTGTTTGCGTTAGGATTTCGTTATGCATTGAATGATTTTCGCGGCAATTAATTTCATATATCCTTCGTTTTTTCGCAGAAACAGTTGTTTCCTTGCGGCAATCGTGCACTTTTTGAAATATAAAAACAATGAAAATTTTGATTTCATACATTTTCATCTCACTTTTTTTATATAATTAAAAATTAATGTTGCGTCTAAGCCATATTTAAATTTTTCTTGCATTATTAAGTTATGTCTTTAATCAGTAAACTGAAATCAGTAATCAACAAATTATTCAATAAGAATTATATCGGTATCATTTAAAATTTTCTCTAAACTAAAGTATATTGAAGTATATATTGAAAATTTTACAGGAAATATTTTAATTACAGGTGTTCCATTAGTTTAAGATATTGTAGCAAGTTATAGTGACTTGCTACTTAATCTTTCAAGTCATAAAAAATTTTTTCATCTCGTAAGCTCTCATTTAATTTTCCTGAACCCAATAAAAAATTTAAACTCATCTGTGAAAAAGAAAAACGATAAAATAAAATTTATGTTGCAAATTTAGGACATTCACCTGCTCAAAGCCATTTTTTCGATTTAAATTTTATTATTATTTGACTGATCCTTTTTTAAAAGCATTTTTAGCATTAACGTTTCGATTAAGATTAGCTTAATTTTGCAATTTCATTTGTTAATCGAGGGTTCGACCAAATTTGGTGAAGAAACTTTGTTATTTTTATTTAATATTTTTCCACACACTTATGATTGAACTAAAATATTTTAAAATTTCTAATAAAAAAATGAATTCATTCAAGTTTTATGTTGCCTCAGCTAAGGCTAAGCCATTATAGAATCGATCGCTGGCCCTTGACAGGAGAAAAAACTGTCGTTAAAAGGGTTTTTTCTACCTTCTAAATGTACGTTTACGAATGTACATTTTTCTACATATTCCGTTTTCACTTTTATTTTTATTTTACAAATTTCTATTTGAAGTTGGTTATTATACTTAAGTATGCTTGATTTTTGAAGGCCAAAATTAATAGAACTAATTTGATTTTGTCAAAAAAAATGATTAAAAATTTTAGCAACGAATTACAATTTTGCCTTCCTTATATTATATGTGAATTTATCTTCACTTTCATATTTCACAAATCAAATAAATATAATCTTTTCAGTGTTCAGGCTCATTAGATGCATTTTAATCGATTTCTTCATATTCCACCAATTCCTCAATAATTCGTTCGTTGCCGATCTTTTCTGGATTCAAATTTCTCAAATTATTCTTCTTTAATAATCCATTCCTTAAGAAGAAAAAACAACATTTCTCAACATTTCTCAACCATTCAAAATGTGATCAATGACGCCTTTAGCGTAAAATATTCCACCCGTCTATAACGTCTAAAGTATTTTTATTATGGTATTTCAATTTCGTATTTTCAATTTTTACGCTCAATTTTATTCATTTTTCTTCTTACTTTCTTCACACATATCTTTGCATATTCTTTTCTTTTTTAAATATATTTTGAATATAATATTTTGAACACTCTTGTAGCATGAGAAACTTGGAATTTGCTTGGTAAAAATGGGTAGCCAAATTTTAATTGCCAGATTAAAATTGCTAGATACGTTCGCTGCTTAGAAGCGTCTAATCAGTCAGTTATTACATATCATGCGTAAAATAAAATAAACTTGATTGAGCAATAAATGATATATTAAATTTCGATTGACTCAAGCTTAGATTTTGATTTTTGTTAATATCGCTGATAAATTAGTGATAATTTTAATATTTCATTCGATTTGCAAATTTTTAGTTTCACAAATGATATTTATTTATTTATTTTTTAGGTAGTTAATGGTTAATTAATTATTTATCATCTTAATCGACTTGTTACCATCAATGATATCGATCAATTTTTTTTTCAAAATTATGAAAATTTTGTTTTTTAGTTGTTAATTTTATTTACTTTTTAATGAACGAAATTTATTCGTATACATCAACAATTATTCTTCATTTTGTTCATTTTGACTTCACCCAAAGCATTTAATTTTACAATTTGTTATTTATTAATTATTTTTTTTTATATTTAATATATTGCAATATGTAAACTGCATAATTCTTCTTTAATGAACTAATTAAGGATGAAGCGATTTATAAACCAATTTTAATTTCCTATTTTTTGCATATCTTTTTCATAAATAAACATAAACCGAAAATAATTGTTTCAGTTTATGTCTAACAGAATTTGTATACTTCTGTTTTGAGGAACTGATAAAATATTAGAAATGCTTGCAAAAAAAGAGGTTGAAATTAAGTTTTTAGGGATAATTTTCATCGTAAACTCTATAAAAAATTATTAATTGATTTTAGAAAAATTACCATTGTTGTTGCAATAAAAGAAGTACTTCAAGTAATAATAATAATGATTTGATACTGTAACAATACAATTTTTAAGTTCAAAAGCTTATTTAAAGCTTTTTTGTTATTTCTGTTGGTTACTTTTAAAATTGAATTATATCGTTTAAAATTTCAAGAATTCAAACATCAATCGCATATTTGCATTAAAATTTTTGCAAAATTTTGAAAAATTGAGGGATTACAATAAAAATATTCGCTGCGGCCAAAAAATAATCCCACAATCCGTCGACCCACTTAAAAGTTCACTAATTTTTGCATTGTTCTGCAGGATATTTCTTCTGAATGATAAAGCGGCTGCAGATTGCATATTTTGTTATCCTGCTACTTTTCGGTATGTTTGGCATTTTATAGTCTTTCAGTTTTTGATTCAGAATAAATATTTGAAAATATGTTTGTTTATAAAAATGGTTCCGAGTCCACATCATCGTCCATCATGTTTGAGCAAATTCAGTCGTACCAACAAATAAATGATTCAGAATGAAATTAAATTTTAAATTTATGGAAAATCGAATTGAATTAAACAAGAAACACAATGTTCCAGCAAACTTTGATTTGAAATATATATATTCTAACCAAATTTAATTTGTTCATCTCCTTTAAAATCTCCTCTAACCCTTCCATATTGTTAAAGCGATTTGCTTTAGAGTAGAATTATATGTATATTTGAAAAAATTACGTATTTTTTCTCTTAAAAGCGATGGGTAATTGCACAAGTCTTTATATGCAAAATTACACTGGCAATTAAGGTGTTATAAAACATTATCCTTTGAAAACTTCATAAAATGGGAAGGAATTTATAAAAAACCAAAACTTAAGAAGGATTTCCTTGTAACTGGAGTTTAGAACATTTGATCGCAAATGATCATTCGAAATGCTGTAATGAAGGAGCAAAACAATTTCTGCAATTATCGACATGTTCGAAAATTCATAATCAATTGTCTGGTGCATTATGTATTCGAACAGCTTCAATTTGTTGCCTTAGGGCTTTGCTCGATCAAAGTTGTCACCATGGCATGACATTGGCGTTGGAACAGGATAATTGTCCTGCTAATATCAATCAAATTGGCGGAGGCTTTCGAAAGGTGATCTTCTTTCTCAGCTTCATAGAATTATTCAGCGAAATTCGAGAGCATTCTCTAAATTAGCCAAATAATATTATTTTAATTGGCTGTGAAGATAAAAAAATTCTTTACTAACTTTTTTCATTTTTTCATTTCTTTTATCATTTTCATTTTAGGAATGTTGTGAATGCTGTCTTCTAGCCAAAGATTTGCTAAATAATGGTGAAGAATGCGTCGCTCCAAGTGGGTTAAGTACAGCATGTAATGGATCATTTAACAAATGTTGTAAAGAGAAGAACTTGAAATCATCGTCGGCTTACTTTCTGAGTTTCTTATTGCCTTCTTTAAAATTTTTATGAAAATATTACCGATAATGGCTATTACCAAGTTATTAAACAGCTATTTTATTAGGACATTAACGATCAAACAGCCTTTCTGTGTTCACGCATTAGATTGAATTGTCCAAATCATCTACGAAAAACATAGATTTATGTCTTATTTCAGAGATGGTGAGCATTAATGAGGCTGATGGATGCAGCACTGCTAAATGCGACCATTTCTGCAATGATTATGGTGAAGGCACAATAAGATGCTCATGTCGAGAAGGTTATGAGCTTGGATCTAATGGGTACTCATGTATAGGTTTCTCTTCTTATTTCTTATTTTTATTCGAATATTGCTTTTTAAAGAGTTTTCACCATTACTGGTCAAACTCGCTCCTCTGGCTTGTCGCACTGGACAAATATGCCGGGGAGTCTTTGATGATAGAAATACAGGTGAGTCGCCAGCTCCGATTCGAATTGCATAGATAAAATTTAAAAGACAAAAAATTATTGAAAAAATTATTGTTATAAATCTCGACAAAAAAGTATTTATAAAAAAAGGCATTGCTATGCCAAGCAGTTATTGCTATCAGTAATAATAATCATTTTCGAAATTTAGTATTTCGAATATTTTATCATATAGATCGGAAATAGATTATTAGGTTATTGATCATTGATTATTCTAGTTTTGAAGTTTTTTTCTTGATAAAATTTTGCGACATAGACATAAACGAATGCAAAGAATCATCAAATAGCACCAAATTGATTTCTTCGCCATATAATACGAAAAATAAGATTTGTGAAAATCATATCGGTGAATATCGTTGTATTCGGCGTTACATTTCTTATTCGTAGTGATGAATCCAGCTTCCTGAGAAGAAAATTCACAAAGGAGATGCGTCCTAAAGGCTCAACGATCTCTTCATTTGGTTCATGCGTCGGTGAGAAATTCGTTTAAATATCATCGGTGCATGATTCATTCATCGCACAACTAATCGTGCACGTCCTTTAAGAACTAAAAACTAAACCGTGTTATATGATATATGACATTACGAACTAATTCATCGAATACTAAATATCATTCACTTCCGCAACTTAATTTCGGCAGCTAACAAAGGATTCCATTCTTTTCGAAGAAACAAAGATTGCCGATATCGACGAATATTTTATGGTAACATATGCACAATTACGAAAATAACCGCGCGGAAACCCTTAGTGATTTTGTCATCTTTTTAAATCATTTACAAGCTCACTGCCACATGGACATTATTCCACTATTATTGTTGTAACGTGTCGATCACAAGTAATAAAATGTTTAATAAGGTCATAGTTGATTTGTGTAAAAGGAAATTTTAAAGAGCATCTTGAAATTCCCTTCCAGACTTGGGTAGTTTTTGTGGTGTTTTTGGTTAGCGTAATAAAATAATAAAAAATTTTAACTCCCATTATGTCTCTTCTTTTCTTTCCCCAACAAATACCACCCCATCCATACTACAATGTCAACAGTGGCGACGCTGGAAGCTTTTTTATACGCATATAAGACTACAAAAATTGCTCTCTTAACGACTGGTTCAATGCAATTCGAAATGCTCTTGATAAATTGGCGCTGCCAAGCTTGCTCCTTGCAGTTGCCGCTTTCGAAAACACACTAATCATTAATCCACCGCCTTTCTGGATTATTTTAGTTCGCCAGGACTGAGGTGACGTCTCCAAAATTTGGCTAGAAAATTTGGCTGTTGTTTCCAGATTAAGAACAAATAATTTAACGTAAAGTACAAACTCGTCAAATGAGCAAAGTATCACATAACTGTATTCAACTTCAATTTTTTGCTAAAAGCACTCACCATTGCTCGTAAAGCTCGCTCCGCTGGCGTGTCAAACCACCAAATTTTTCATAGAAGTCACTTAGCGATAGAAGTACAAGTGAGTCGCTTGCATAAACCCAATGAGCTATTCTAGCTGAACTATCCGCTTTGCTTTTGCGGTTTGGCGATAGTGTCGCCCGAAGAGTGATGCATCAGCAAGAGTCAAACGCAAACCATTCTCGATTCTTGGTGGTAATCACCTTGCCACTAGGCCACCAAAGCGTTTCTTGAATACCATCTGCATTAAGATATCGTCACAAAAAACTCTAGTGGTTTAGCCATGATCTTCGTTTTCCATAACAAGAATTAACGTATATCTCGCTATTTGCTAAAGCCCTATGTTGGATGACGGGGAAGACCTGGACTGATACGGTCTAAGGAGATTTTGAGGGGACGGCCCAGCGACATAAGGTGGAAAAAGGAGTGGCTTCAGTTACTTTCAGGAATGATGTCGGATCGGGAGACTTGGAAACGTCTTACCTTAGTCGCCAATAGAACGAGCCAAAATAGCAGTGGTGCGAGCTACTAGAGAATAGAAGGAGAAGAAGGATTAATTTAATGCATATCAAACTGTTCATTCGTTTACTCAGTTTATTTTTCATTATTTTTCACTAACCTTATTTATTCTTACTAACTTATATTTTCCGAAATTTTTACATAACATTCTGCCTAACCGCCTATTTTCTAACAGACATAGATGAATGCCTTTCACTTGCGGATAACTGTCATGAAAGTCAACGATGTTTGAATACTCCTGGATCATTTAAATGCATTCGCACACTTTCTTGTGGCACGGGATATGCACTCAACAGCGAAACTGAACAGTGCACTGGTTTATATTTTCTAACAACAATTTAAACATTAAATTACACTGATCAAAAGAAAGAAAATAGGAAAAAGCTCGTTCTTTTAATGAACTCTCTTGAATCTTCATTCAATTCTATTTAAAGGCAAATTTTTTGTTTAATTAGCAAAAAACATGTGTTTCCCTTATAATCGATTAAAATAGAATTTCTTAAACATAATAAGGCGATGGTTGTATCGAATAAAAAAATTTCAATAGTCATGGTTTTATCGAATGAAAATGATTTCTCCTTCATCACACGATTTTCTTTACGCTAATTAAATCTGTCTGCAACCCTTTAAATTAAAAGTCAATCATATTTGACTTAGTTTTGAATGTAAAAAATGTAAAAATAAATGTAAAAAATGCAATGAGAACGATTGTAAAAGAAAGAATTGTAAAAAAAGAATTTGAAGGATAAATATCAAAGAAAAATGCAGCATGCAGACGCGCTTAAGAAAATTTCCTTATTTATTTATTATTTAATGAAATAAGAATTTGCTGAAAATTTAATGAATATTACTAAATATGTTACCGTTTTTTTAAATACATTAATTTTTTTAGATATTGATGAATGTCATTTGGGTTCACATGATTGTGGCCCAACTTTCGTGTGTCGTAATACACAAGGCAGCTACAGATGTGATATGAAAATATGTCCTGATGGACAACTATTAAATCCAGAAACCGGCAACTGTACAGCTATAACTTGTCCAGTTGGTTATAAAGCAACGAAAGGAGCTTGCGAAGGTCAAATTTTTAACAAAATTTTTAATTTCCATTAAGAAATAGAAATAACTGATAATTTCCATTCTCACTTTCAAAAAATTTGAAAATATTAAAAATTAAAAATAATTTATCAAGGAAAAATCTGCTAGCCATTACTCTTGGAAATTCAGTAGAAATAGTTCGTAAAAAAATCAATATTTTTCGGAACTTTCCAGCAATTTTTATCATTTTTAAGTTATTTTTTTATTTTCCTTATTTATAGTCAAATACTATTTAAATTCATTAATAAAAGAAGAAAAAATGATTCGAAGATCTGCGAAATTCGCTAACCTAACGATTTATGAAATTTCTAAAATATTTATTAAATTTGCAGAATCCATCACTCACTGAGCCAATAAATATTTTTTTGCAAATCAGCATTATATAATACCAGTTTGCAATTTTTATACGTTTACATACGGGGCACTTATATGTTTTCTCGTTCGAAACATTAAATTAAAGTTTTTTTAGATATTAATGAATGTACTGTAATGAATCGTCCATGTAATTATCATGAAGAATGTATAAACACTCCTGGTTCGTATAAATGTCAACTTATTGATAATTTATGTGGCCAAGGATATCGCATTGACAAAAAAACAGGGTTTTGCATTGGTTTGCTATCATTATCATTGATTTCAAAGCAATCAGAGTCGAAAGATAACAAAAAGAAAACTTTGGATTTTTTTGTATGACCGTTTATAACAAAATTGGTTATAACAAAATTTTGATTTAAATTTTAAATTGATGATTTAATAATGATTAATAATAATAAATTGTTTTTATATTATATGCAGATATCGACGAATGCGCTGAAAGAATTCATACATGTGGAACTGAGCAATGTGTTAATATTCTGGGAAGTTATAAATGTCGATGTGCAGCTGGTTATGAATTCAATGAAACGGTTTGAATAGTTTTTTTCTACGTTGTAAAACAGTATTTAGCTACATCTTCGACGTAATAAGTACATATCTGTGATTACATCTCCCGTTAAAAGCACCGCTAATTCACTCTCAAAAAAGTACCATCATTGTTTCATCAAACCTCGTTGACATTAGCTTAAATTTCAGTCTATTAGTTTCTATTAATTACTCATTATAGTTTCTTGTTTCTTTCTTTAAATTCTCTACTAGTCACGAAATTCACTCTATTGAACCATATCCTTGAACATTCTTATCCCATCCACCAATATTACAAATCCATCACACCACCCTTGAAACCTTGGTTCATCGAGTTTATAGTTTCTCTTTGATGCTTCCATGAGATTCATAATATTTATCAAAAACCTCTGTTCCACAAATAAAACCTCTATTCCTCGTGACTCCCCTAAAATTCATCGACACTCTTCTACCATAATTTGTTAGCAATTTTGGTACTATTTTGATTTTTCTAAACCTAATTTAATTCCATCTATTTTTTTCATTTCATCACTTTTTTCTTAATGCTCCCAAACGGCGACTTTTGACATATTGCAAGTTGTAAATTTACAAAAAGTAGGGCTATAGCGTTCGTACAAGCAGTAATACGAACATAAAAAGAACTTTGAGGAAGAATCAAATGGTCAGTATATCAGAGTTAGAAGGGACCTAAGGAAATACGAACTTTTGAAGAAAAATCAAAGAATATGCTAAGGTATTCTAATCGTCCGTAGGACGGATTCAAATAAATATTTTCTTGCAATAAATGATTTCAAGTCAAAAGATAGAACTATGAAAAGATTTAGTTAAAAAACTGTGAAGACGTAGATGAATGCAAAAAGTTCGATGGCCATGTATGTTCGCTACATGCCACATGCGAAAATACAATCGGTTCATTCAAATGCCATTGCAAATCGGGTTTCAGATTGGCTGCAGATGCTCGAGGCTGTGAAGGTAATTTGAAAATGAATCCTTTCGAATATTTTAAATTTTTTTATAAATTTTCGAATATTTTGATTTTAGAGGAAAACGTCTTGATTTCCACAAATTTTTTTTCTATCTCTTCTATCAAATAAAACGGACTTTATTAAAAATTTTTATAAGATATTAATGAATGTGATATGGGCATTGCTGTTTGCTCTCAAAAATGCATCAATATCCCGGGTAGTTATCAATGTTTATGCGATCGAGGATTCCAACTTAGTGCTGATGGAAGTAGATGTGAAGATATTGATGAATGCGTCTTATGGTCCACATCAGGTAAAGGACAGTGAATAATTTGCAGAAATTTTTATCTTTTATATTTAGTGAAATTTTGTGCGATAATTTGCATTGTTCCAGCATAATTGTTAATTGTTAAACAATATTTAATTATTAATTGTTATTATTAAATAATTGAACTTCAATTAAATATTAGGTATTTAGATGATGAATTATGCATGGGTAGTTGTATAAACACTCCGGGATCCTATCGATGTAAATGTCCATCGGGCTACACAATACAAGATGATGGAAGAACGTGCAAAGGTTATTTCGCTGCCTCTTTGCAATAATTTCTATGTTGAAAGATCAAAGCTTACAGTTTTATTCTTTTATTCTTATTTTCGTGCCTTTTGATGGTTTGTACTAAAAATACGAGTGAAAATTAAGTTTAAATTTTTGGTGATTAGTTATGTATTTATTTATATTTAGATATCGATGAATGTCAGCAAGGATTTTGTCGCACTAAGAATACTATTTGTGTGAATACACTCGGCAGCTTCAAATGTCACCGGATTGAGTGTCCGACTAACTATGTCCATGATAAACATTACAAAAAGTTGGTTTAATACAACTAAGAAGTCTGAATTACTTATTTTCGCATGAAACGGAGAAAGAATTATTAATTACTATCACTATATTATTGCTTTGCTCGTGCAAATTTTTTTTAGAATTTCACCAAATTTCTTAAATAATAAAAATAAATTCTTAAAAATAAATTCTTCATTTATTTAATAAAAAATGTTACGTTTTGATTAATAATTCTTGATTTCGATTTAGTTTTATTTTACATTTAGTTTTTATTCTGAAAAAGCTGTCAGAATTTTATGCTTTTTCGCGCTCGTAATAAACTGCTTAATCATTTTTTAACCAATTAATTTGTTTAAATAAATTACTTCGGTGATCCATTCCATTAAATATGATGATCAGATATCGCCACGGAGGTTGAATTCGAAAAAGGTTATTGCGAATCTCTGTTGTGCTAAGCTTTGGGATGGTTTTTCACCCGTCTCCTTTTCCTTGAGAATTTTGTGCCTTCTCATCTTAAAACTTTTCTACATTTTCTTTGTTGTGCTAAACTTTCTGTTCAGTCGTTGCAATCGTATGCGATATATATGTGAAAAATTGAATGAAAATGACTGTAAAGAAATACCATTGCGTATAAGTTGGGAATATACAGCGATTCCTCGAAATGAACCTATATCAAAGCACCGAACATCGATTATGCTTTTTACAGTAAAGGGACCGTCAAGTCCATCGGCTAGTGTACAGTTCGAGTTAAATCTCAAATCTGCCATTCCAGGTTAAATTAGACGTTTAACACTAAATTTGATGAATAATTCTGAATGAATTTACATGCTTCTACTTACTTGAATCTAATATGTTTCAATAGTTAATTACTGCTAGATTTACTATTCTGTTAACAAAAATTTTGTGGCTTGAAGTTAAAAACCATTTGTTTGATACATAGTTATTCTTAATTGTTAACTGCATGTAAAGAACTGCAATAGCATGTTTCAGAAAATAACACTGTTCGAGCTGCAATTCGAAGCAATTTCCTTCTACAGAAAGGTGAAGAAAGAAATTTGGCATTGATTTCACTTCGCGATTCATTGGATGGCCCCCAGGAAATTGAGCTCGAGCTCATATTAAGGCTAAGTGTAGATGGAACTTTTCAAAGCAAATATATTGCTAATCTTATTGTTTATGTCTCTGCACATAGGCGACAACGTATGATGTCGTTGCCGATTTTATGACCAAAAACAGGTAAAATTGAATAATGAGCAGAAATTGATTGGTGAAAAATTATGAAAGATGTTTTGCGGTTATCAATTTATGTTTTTTTTTTAAATTAATGATCAAAAAATTTGAAGGTAACAGAGATTGTAATCATCAAAAGAATTTTTCTACTTTTGTTGTCAAATTTTTGATATTTTCATCAAATTTTTTTAACTTTAATAAAGCAATCTAGAAACTCTAAGAAGATTGGATTTCTAGCATTTAAGAGCTTTCCATATATCATTTTTCAGTTTATTGGGTAGTGACCTACTTTAGTATCAATAAAACATATATTCTAACAATAGGGACTTTGGAAATAAGCTGCATTCGTCAGCGAATAAGTTAGCGAATAATTTTACCTAATTATTAGAAAAGGAAGTTTGCTTACTTGTAAAATGTAATTTAACAAGAACATTTTCATAATGCTTAATATTTTTTAAATTTAAGCTTAATGTATTTCTCATCTGCTAATTTATTTTAATCTATAATTAACATTCACCGGGTTTCATTTGAATCACCTGAACATTCATTGAAAGCCTTCTTTACGTGTACGTTTATTTCGATAAAACTCTGTGTGAAAATTTATGTCAATTTTTGATTGTGTGTGTCATATTTGAAAATAAAAAACCGCTTATTTTCATTTCCAAATATTTTGTTAATGCATCTTATTTGAAAAAGATTCAATTTACGCGGAACAAAATTCGTAAATATTGAAATAAAAGTTAAATATTTTCGAAGCAAGCGGTTGCCACAATAAATATTGGGACTGAAGATTCGTTGAAATAGTAGGCAGTCTTTTAAGATTTATGATTTACATGGCAACATTGGAAGATATATATCAAAAAGATATAAACTAATTATTATTAGCTGATCATCTACCAAATACCTATCGCATTGCTTTTTAAAATGTTGTTATGGCAACGCGATTGCCAGAAATTAGATTTAGGATAACAAACTTTAAAATAACTTTGTAGGTGAAATTTTAAGGCTTGATTTTAACATTTAACATTCAGTGATAAACACTAAATTATTCATGCATATGATAAGAAAACTTTTTGTATGATATTTTAAAATATTTATAGCAATATTGAAGATGGCTATTCGTGTCTAAAAGAATGCGATCCGCGAGATGCAATTTGCTTAAGCAATCATACAAAAGAAATTCTTTATCAATTCCGAGCAATTCCATCAATGAAAAATATTAATCGACCAATTGAAGTGATGACTATTCACATCATATTTTTAAATTATTACTTTATATTTATAACTTTTCCTAAAATTCATTTACTCATGAGCAGATATATATAATGTAGATATATTTACATATGAGTACAGATATTTCATTTTGTTCTTTCCTCTAAAGGCATTCATCATTTCTAATTTTGCTGATTCCACTGATTCTTATCAATTCTGTCATAAGACCCGTTCACTAGGCATGTGTACAGAAATACAGATAATCTCTGTGGTATAGAAGTATAGACTTTGAAACTTTGGCACAGATTTCTTTGTGCATTAGCTTTTTCACTTTTAATAACTTATTTTTACTCCTTTTAAAGGAATCGAACCTATGGTATGATACATGAAACCTTACTGAAAGTAGCATAGCTATCACTCGATCATTCCATCTTTCATTTGTTCTTTTAGAATCAAGTAATCTTTAAGCCTTTGAAAATTTCTATGGTTACTATTTTAGATATCTCGAATAACAACAGAAATGGATCTACCATTTTCAGTTGATTATCAAGTCGACAAAATGAATCGTAATAATTTCTTTGTTGTACAAGAACGAAATATTGGTTGGTTTTTTTCAAGATTAATACCATTTAATCCAGAATTGTTACTTCACCAGGCAACTTTTCCTTTTCACCAGGCGACTTTTCCTAAAATCTTCACCCGTTTAACTCGATCCTGATTAACGAGAGGCTTTTCATCCATAAAATTGACCATTTACTTTCGAAAAATCGTTTTTAATTGAATTTAAATATTAATTTCCAGTAAATAAATCAAAAATATCAACAGTTAGAAAGATTGAAATGCAAACAGTCACCACTAAATAGTAACCTAAATTAAATCGAAATAACCTGATAATGTTAAGGCGTTATAAAACTATCATCGCCACTGAAAGGTCCACAGGTAGTTATGGTTCGAATCCATATTAACACATATTCCAGAACTCGGGTTCTCCTTGCGCACAACGTAGCTCTGATACGTATTTATATTTCACCAAATTATTTTTGAATAAATTCAAAGTGTTATTTATTTATTTGAATTGCCACTTATTTAATAATAAAGTTGATTTAATTTTTATGGAAATTTGAATCCTGCATAATTATCGAAAATACCTCAATTTGTATTCCAAAAGGCACTAGTGAATACACTCGAGGCTTGTGAAAAAAACCACTGAAAAAAGAGCTCGACACTACTCTTAATAGATTTTCTGCCTTTCAATCCAGAAGCTTAAAAAAAACAAGAAATAAAGAAATTCATTAATATTATATTTACCACCACTCTTATAAACTTTCTTTTCTCTTCCTTGGTTAGGTTGGTTTCACTATCAACTAAGGTAAAATGGTGCGAAACCGATTCTTCTCGATCTGATGCCTAAAATTTATCGAAGCCACTCCTTTTTCCATCATCTAAGCTCATATATTATGGAGCCGTCTATGTTTTTAAATTTAAAAATTTCGCCTGATCGTGTCGACCCAATCATTGGCAGAGTTCGCTCACTTTTGACAAGATTTGGCATGTAGTTAGACGCTTTTTTTCTTTGGACATTGCCTAACCAGCGCAACAATACCTTCTATGCATGTGGCATCAGAGCGAAGGTGGAATACATAATCAATTCAGATTTAATCCGTACGATAGGCAGATTTACCTTAAGCAGGCAGGTACATAAGATTTTGATATCTTTCGCTCTCACTGGCCATGTTTCGCCACCATAAATCAGGATATTAGCAGCCAGAGGTGCGAAATTTCACTTTAAAATTGATTTCATGACGATTGAACATGACGATTTCGTTTATGAGAAAATGATTTAAACAAAATAATTTGTTTCATATAAATCAGTAATAAAAGAAAAAAGATAAAATTAAAAATTATTTTATGGTTTTATAAAAACAAATAAAAAATTTCGTTATTAGATTTGTCATAATATTTCGACTATTATAATTACGTAAACGTTATAACAGGCGAAGGAAATGATAAATTATCAGGAATGAAGTAAATCAAACATCTACGAATTGATTTGTGTATAAAATCATAATATTAAATAATAATAACTACAACAATTTAAATAATAACAAAATAAAAGTATAGTAAATTTCCAGTTAACAATGGGACGACAGGTGAATATTATATCAAATCATAGGTTGTAGAAATAACAAATAAATAAAGAACCATAAATTTGCTTCGGGCCGCTGTTTTCTTCGTTCATTTATTCCACAAATTTTATTCCCAAAATAATCTCAAACAGATAGCCTTTGTTCTAGCAATCGAATCCATCCAACTATAGGCATAGGTGAAAATTTAACATATATCATTATTCTTTTGATTAAGAAAACGAATAATAATTACGAACCAGAATTCAAAAAGTCTACAAAAAGTACAGCGATACGCGATTTGCCATCAATTGGGTGGGTTTTCATATAATTAACAAATTTTCGCCGTAAACGAGAATACTCAGCGATGCTTCTTTGTCGCTTAAATAATATCTTAAAAATAATTAAATGTAAAGAGTACACAATAATAATCCCAACTTTTAAAGCAAAATCTTGTTTTTCTGGTCTTACATGACTTTTTAAATTTTTTTCAAAAACGACAAATTAATTTAAAAAAAAATTAAATTTAAATAACAGTTTCTACAAACCTTTTCCTTATTTTCTATTCCACAGTATGGTACAGTTATGTAACTACCCACTGCAGCATATCTCTGTTGTTCAACAATATGGTGCACGATTTTTTGCGTCACATTATCTACTTCTTGCAGAAAATCAGATGACAACAGTGGTGGATTTTCCGTACTCATATTTGCCTCCAACTTTTTTCCCTGAAAAAATCGAGTATTTATTAAAAATCGAAAAATCGAGTTAACGTAAAAATTCAATATATGAAATTTTAATTAATCATTGATGAAAGATTATTGGTAGTAATAAATGCTTTTACTATTAATTTTCACAATATCATTAAATTTTTAATAAAATTGCTATTTGCTATTTTACTATTCTTTTTCTAACAACTCTCATTACTGGTTAGGACTGTTCCACTGGCTACAAGGGTAAGACATTTCCAAACTGCGCGATCTGATACTACTATCGACAGTAATAGTAGATGTCATTCCTCCTTTCATCGTCTAAGTACATATATTGCTACCTATATGTTCAAAGTCTTTTCTGACCATGTTAATCCAGGTCTTGATTCGTCCGCCTCGCTTTTGACGCCATTTGTTACAGGGTTTAGCGAGTAACGAGACTCAACATTAGTGGTGAAAGACGAAGAACAAACAGTGAAGGCGACGCTCTATAATGACTGTTAATGCAAGTGGTGGTGGCAAGCCATTCTGTATTAGAGAGGGTCCAAGGTATTTAAAATCGAGTATTTCCTTAACCGCTAAAGAAGAAAAGGCTTCAGCTGTACTTAAGACGAAAAGACTTTCATTTTATTTATTATTTACATTGACTCTCCTAGTCCAATTCTAGCTGCAATTGCTTATATTAGATGCTGATATTATTTAGCATTGTTTGCATTTCGTCATAAACATCAGCAAAAAAGATATTATGAGTGTATTCAAGATCTCTAATACGATTTTTATATTTAATATATGAAAAACTGAATTTTAAATGGAAACCTGGATCAAACAAGAAAAAATCTGATCAACAGGCAGATCAACAAGTCGCGGACCAGGATGAATAAGATCATTTGTTACAGGAACTTCGTCAAATGTCCTAGAATCCTGCCGAGTTCCAATGGATAAAGTAAATAAAGGAGAATCCCATCGATTTTTCGATTCTGGTCGCTCATAACGAGAAAGCAAATCAATAATAGTTTTCTCTTCGTATCTACAACAAAAATGCGATGAAAATTTCAATAATTATAAATGGACTGATTAAGACTTATTAAATAAACACCAAGAAAATTTAAAAGCCTAAAAGTGGTGAAAAATATCTAAGAAGATAATAAAAAGATAACCTATCGCTTTCGTAAACAAGATTATGAATATTGAATTGGAATAAAATATTTAAGCAAATATTTAACTGGAAAAAACTAAAATAAATAAAAAATTTAAAATTTTCTTTGATAAGATGGGCTCATTATTAAAAAATATCCATTATAAAATGATGAAAAATACAAATCGTTTAAGAAGAAAGCAAACTTTTCAAGATTTTCTGGCTGATTATTATAGTAAATACAAGTTTGGGCGGAAGCATCACAGTGGACCACAGCAAAAGTTGTTTGCATTAACTTTGCAATGCAAAATAATTCATATCGAAATCCTATAAAATTTAGACAATTTAGACTTATATTAACAGAATAAAAAATATGCGAGAAAATGCAACTCATTTACGATATTATGAATTTTCGACAAGCCAAACTGGCGATTAGCAAAACAATTTCGTTTTTTTCAACAAATTTATTAAAACTGAGGGAAAAAACATTAGAAAATTTTGAAAGTCGCGAAATATAAGAATTTTGAAAACCTTTTATATAATTCAGTGAATCGCAAATAACAAAAATATCTTTGGTCAAAATTCGCTGCACCTCGGATCGCAAAATAGCTCGATGTTCTCGTTCCTAAATTGTCCTAAATAAATACTAAACACAATAATAACAAATAAAAAAAATGGTCAAATAAGAAATATTGACAAAAAATTTGAAATGAAAAATTATTTTTGCTTGTAGATATATATATATGGGTGTAATAAGTGGATGTGTGAAAAAGTAAAACCGTGGCCTCGTTCCACGAAATACCCTCTTCAAAGATCCATGCCCCAAAATCCATTAGTGATATAATTAAACTCCTTTCGACCATTTTAGTATATTATCACCCAACGCCTCATATCTTCCCTTAATGCGCTGCCAAGTCTCGCAGTACACTTCTGTACTTCTGTCACTGCGGCACAATTAAATTGCGAAGAAAACATGTTGTTTGAGAGTAATAAGGTAGAAAGTGAGGAAAGAAAGAAGAGACAACAAAATTGGAAACGAGAATCGAAGAGGTGTTAAATAGAAGAAATGAGAATGCAATAAAAGGAGAAGCACAAAAATAATCGTTTGATGAAGGGTTCCTCAGTTCATAGAACGGAGTTTTACTTACATAAAATAAAAACGAGAAAAAAGGAACAAACAAATAATAAAGCATGAACAAATAATAATAATAAAAATAATATAAATAGCAAATAAATAAAATGAATAATAAAAAATGAGCGAATAATTTAAATATTAAATATTAAATAAATAATAAAGAGCAAATTAATAAAAAAATGATGAAAAGAATCGATTTATCACAAAAAAGTAAGAAAAATAAATAAATAAAAATAAAACGTAAACTTAAGAAATAAAACGTAAACTTATTAAACTTATATAGCTCAAACTTTTCATAAAAATACTTTTTAATCGGTTTCAATATTGATTTTGTAATTGTTCCACTAAAAATTTAAGAAAAAAAGTGATTCCAAAAATATCGACTAAATTACAAAATTCTACTCAGTTTTTTACTTAATTATGTTAGCGAATGGAAAAAAAAATTAATAGATAAAATTAATTTTTATAATTATGGCTGTAAGACTTTGAAAAAACAGAAGCGAAAATGGAAATTTTTTTCAATTTTTTATATTTTTATCCAATATTTTTCTAATTTTTTAATGATATGATTTCTTTAAAACGCAAAATTATTAAATTACTTCAAGAATTTCCTAAATCCCTTTCGAAATTATTAAGAAGAAATGCCCTTCCATAACGCATATCGAAAAAATTCAAAATTCAAAAAATTCAAATTTAAAATTTAAAAATAGGAAGTGAATTTAAAAAATCGGAAGTAAAGAAAGGAACAAAAAACGAAATATTTCATGAGACATAAATAAAATTTCTTGTGTTAACTGAAAAAGAATAGGGAAAGAGGAGAGAGAGAAAAAGTCTTTTATTGGTGATTGAACTAGTGAAACCGAAACAGTGGCAATCGCTGAGCAAGTTAAGGGGAGACGCAATGAGGGGAAGAAGATGGGAAAAGGAAGGAATACAACCGAGAAACAGCAAAATGTTTAAAAAAAAAAGAAAAGATTACTAAAAAGCAGAAATTCATACTCTATATGAATCATTATAAAAATTCCTTAAAAAAAAAGCATTTCGATCGTCTGCAACTATTTCTATTCGATCAAATCCTTTCGCGTAAAGAAATTTGACAACCCTTTCAACAACTGTCGTTTTCCCTGAACATGGAGGCCCAGTTATCACCAAAAGTGGCATGGAATTCCTGAAAAACCTCATTGAACACAATTCGGCAAATTACATCAACACCAAATTACTACATAATTTTTAAGGTGAAAACAGCAAGAAAAGAAATGAAAAGTTAACAATCTTGGATTTCAACAACAAAAAATATAAAATATATAAAAATAAAAAATGAAAAAAACGCAGAGATAGGGATTTTTTTCAAAAAAAACGAATAAATGAAAGGGCTTTAGGACAACTCGGCATTGTAAGGACCAATGGGAGAAACGTTACCACGTAAACGGGGCAGGAATATTTAGAATTCATGCGACACTAGCATCAGCGACAGCAGCGCGACATAGCTTAAAGCAAAAAATAAATAAAATATTTTTAATTAAAATATCGAAGAAGCAAATATAAAATGCAAAAGAAACTAGGGTCGCAGCCCGTGCCAAATTTTTCGCAGCCCAAATAGCAGCTCCTTGCAGTCGCTAGCTCTATTCTTGGTTTGGTTGGCTTTGATTCCTGTTTGAGGAACTCTTTCGTATAGATTAGCTTGGTGGTAGTTTGCCAAACACCATGCGATTTTATTTTTGAATGCCACTCTTAATCCCATCAAGAGAGATGAAGCATTAGTCAAACAAACGTAGCCCTCAATTATCTTAGCTTACCTGTAGTAATTAACTATATGGATGAATAATATATTGATCAAATTTTCGGTTGAGCCACAAAAGCCTCTCATGAAAAGCACCGAGGATTACTGGGGAGCCATCTCCTGGATAATTTTGTGGTGAAAATATGTCATCCTAAGAGCCAGTGGGTAGATCTTCCAAAAATCTTCGGTATTTTATATTTAGCACGCATGATATAAACAATTTCGTAATTCGAAAAGCATGTCAAAATTGGACCAAATACTTTTAAATTTTCTTTTTTCCAATTTTTTTATTTTCATATTTTATTTAAAAAAGAAACCAACGGAGAACAATTGACAATAGATCAGGCAGGAGAAAAGCCGCAAAATTATTCAAGGTTTTGCCGAAAAAAGAGAAAAGTTTAAAATTTAAAGAATTTCTGAAATACTTCTAAATTGATTTGTAAATGCGTTAATCTTATACGAAATTTATTTTCTTTCTATAAAATTTTATTATTTTCGCTTAAAAGAATGTAATAAATTTTATCATATTTTTAATTACAAATCACACCCTTTCTTCTTATTTCGCTTCTATGGAAACCATAAAAAGTACAACGAAACGAAGAAACTGAAACAACGTAGCAAATGTAAACGATTTCAGTTGATAAACGAAGAATATTTTTCGTACTCCACCGATGAATTCTATTTATTTCTATGACTTTTGAATTTTTCAAAAATGTTTGAAATTGAATTTAGTTGGTTTACGAGAAAATACGAATTTGTACAAAAAATATATTCGTTTAAGAGAAATGAATTCTAAAATTCCTCGGTATTTTCTTTTTCGTATTAGCAGATTTATTTAAATTGATTTTTAATTTTCGCCTAAATATTTCTCATTTAATTCATATTTCTTAAGGAATATTCGACAAATATCAAAATTTATGTATTTTCATTCGATTTAAATCATAATTTTATTTATTATTTTAAAATTTTTTATAAATTTTTTTCATGAGTTCTTTAGATAATGCTAAATGCTTGTTCTGCATTATCGGATTAATAAGATTCGCGCTAACGAACCAGGATTATCTGATGACGAGTGAGCCAATGAAACTGCACAATTCTCAGGGATTTATGACAGCCATGTAAGGACCAGTGGAAGAAACCTTACATATATAAGACAAGAAAATTTGGAATTTATGGAATGCAAGAAAAAGCTAGTGAGGGAGTAAAATATGAAGATGCTATGGATAAAAGATCTATATCCACGTTACGTGAGAAAAAATTAATTGCTCATTGCTGATTCAACATTGAAAAAAGGAAGCTGATCTTTCAACTGATGATAAAACGATTCTATATCCCAGAACCAAGACTAATCGAAAGGAGAACAACAGGATATGCAACCAATGATCTGGAAAATTGACTAATTCATTTCCAACATCTCTATTACAAAGCAGGTTAGATGACAGGCAAAAAATCATGGATAAATTAGATGTAGTCAATCCGAGACAAGGTTCAGTTAATAGTGCCACTAAGCAATATAACTGAAGATGCGAATAAAGATCTCATGACACTTATTAAAACCAAATATTATAAGCAGTTTATTGTAATTTGGAAAATATTTGCTCAAGGAGAATAGCAAAATTGCACCTACAAAATAAGATTTGCTTTGATAAATCGCAGCTATTGTTAACTACAGAAGAATTTTTTTTTTCCAAGGCAGAAGTATAGAACTCGCGAACCGAGTACTCAAAGTACTCAAAACCTATACGTAAGTCAAGAAAGGCGAGAACTTATCCGCTAACACTTAGTAAGCGTGGTGAGATGCTGGCTATGGTTGCTTGAAGCGTCAGAACCTTATGTTACGAGCCAAGCGATTATTGTCCACACCCTCTTTAAATATTGCGTGGATGTGGCTTTTTGTTGGAAGTCCATCTTCCTCATGTCGGCTCTCGAGTAATTATTGTACCTGGTTCCGAGCAAAGATATTGGCTATATCACCGTGATGATGTCTCGAATAATTTGGGGCGAAATGGTGTAGTGATTGCATGTGTGAAAAGATTCGATCCACTTTGAATGAATGGAAGCTAGTAAATGATCGTATGGCGCTTTTCAAGAGAAAGTTCTGAAGTATTCCGGTGAGTGTATATATTCCAACTTTAAGCATAGATGACCGGATAAGGATATGTTCTATGGGGAGCTTCAACTGCTAACAACATCTCTACCAAGAGATGACATGATCATAATCGGAGGAGATTGGAATGCGCGCGTCGGATATCTAGTTACGTGGAATTCTCCGGACAATCAACATCCTAACAAGATTGACTATATATTGGTCAGTCACCGCTGGAAGAGTTCTGTACTTGATAATCGTTCTTATCGGGGTGTTTAAACTGGTAACTGCCATGGATTTGATCATGTTATGATATAAAACTGACAAGTCATAAGAAGTAACATAACATATCCCAAGATCTTTCAACTATTTCAAATTAAAAGATCCGGGAACAATAAGCACATTTCAAACAGTATTGAAACATCTCAGTGAAATGAACGATATCTCTGGAAAGGCGAATGAATACTGGTTCCGACTAAAGACATGCCTACAAAAGTCAGCCACCTCCACAATAGGGCGCTA